GAGGGAAACACAGAATCTGAAGCAGGGTCCAGGCTCTGGGCTGTCAGCACAGAGCCTGACATGGAGCTCAAACCCATGACCTGTGAGATCATGACCTGAGCCGAAGCTGGATGCCCAACCGACTGACCACTGAGGCACCCCAAGAAGCTCTCCTTTTCTATTTGTACATCAGTCCCCTTTGTAATAAACTTGATGACCAATGGGTTCAGTATCTTAAAACAAGTTTTTAAAACCACTGGCCTGGACCACTGCAGTTCTAGGTATAGAATTTAAAATATTACAAGAATGTATATAAAATCATCTGGCTAAAATTTGACTATACCCTTACGTTTTGAAGCAAAATATGGGAAATTGTCTCAAACTTAGAACCATAGGTATAAGCAAGTTTCCATTTAACATGAAGAAAAACACATTTCAGTTATAACACATGGGGTATTGCAGTAGGATACTTCACCTCTCTCATGTTACAGAGAATGTTAGACTCAAGGGTCCATCAGTGATTCAGAGGCAGAGCCAAGATTAGAACCCAACTTCCTGATTCCTGTTCCAGTAGTCCTCCCATTAATCTGGGTTTTTTTTTTTTTTTTTAACATTTATTTTAGTTTTGAGGGAGAGAGACAGAACATGAGTGGGGGAGGGGCAGAGAGAGAGTGAGACACAAAATCTGAAGCAGGCTCCAAACTGTCAGCACAGAGCCCTACGTGGGGCTCAAACCCACAAAACGTGAGATCGTGACCTGAGCTGAAGTTGGTTACTTAACCAACTGAGCCTCCCAGGTGCCCGCTCTGCATCTTCTTCACACCCTTTTCTCTCAAAATTATCTTGCTGTGAGAAACTTCAAGTTTCTGGGGGAAAAAATCTATTTTTTTCAGGAGAGTTTTGAGACATCTCTGACAAGAAAAAAAGTGGCTTTTTAATCAGAATATACATTTGCAAATCTACAAATATTAGTTTTTCTTTTGTTTGGGTCACAGGTTGTTCTTTTCTACTCTTTCTTCTTTTTGCCGAAACCAATGCCCTGGGTGTAAGTAAGGCTTTCAAGACGTTTTATGTTCCTTTGTGAGATGCTTTGGAGTTAATATATACCCCTTATGTGACAGGCCTGGTTACAAGAGAAATCATTATAATTTTTCTGTGTCTGGGGCCTGACTCTTGCTTGTTGTTTTAATGTTTCCGAAGCTCTAATCTGAAATACACTGATATACTTATTTGGTACGTAGAGTCCTCTGTGCCTTGCTCCTTGTAGTATCTTATCTTTCATCCACTTGTCTAGAAAAGTTACTATGGAGTCCAGTGGGTGTGCTTCACACTTTCTCATAAAAACTCACTGTTTGGAGTTTTACTCTGAGGGGGATATCTTTTCCTTCCATTTGCAAGATTAGGGATAACCAGGTTGGCGAGAAAACTGTAGTTTTATTTCTGTTTGTTCTTTCCACAAAAACTCTAGAAATTCTTCCTTTTTACAGTTTTTCAAATTTAAGAGTAACTGTTTCTCTATTGAACACTTTCATCGTTTACTTTTCTTCTAATTGCCTTGTTCTGTCCTTCTCTTCTTTTCTCCCCTTTCCTTCAAAACATGCATTGGCATTGCTTTGTGTCAAACAGTATATGATTTTAAATATAGCCAAATGTTTAATAGTTAGGTTGAATAGCTTCAGATACCATCTTTCATCTGCGTTGCTGAATGAAGCTTTAACAGAGCTGTTTATAAATGTTCTGCTAGCTTTTCTCTTTTCTGGCTTTTTCTTTCTAGAGTTACCCAGTTGGATTTATATATGTATTTATTATATCTTCCAACTCTTGCTGACTGGACTTCTGGTTTCAGATGCTACCCATGGTTATTGATGTCATGGTTATTGCTTGAAATTATTGTTTTTGGTTCTCCTGTGTATGTTTTGGTACTCATATATACTGGACTTCATTTTATTTTCAAAAATGCTGTTTCTCTGAATTTGTCACAATTTGCATCCTTTGCCCAACTTCTAGAAAATTAACAGTTGCACACATATGGAGGCAAATGCAGACTTACTGGGTTCATTTCCCTTATGTAGGTCACTGATAAAAATAAATGACTTGGTGCTTTTTCTCTTGATGCAGAAAATAGGTTACTGTGGTCCCATGGAGAATATCTTCTCATTTTACGGTGTTACACTGTTGCTTCTAGAAAGTGATCATGTCAATCCTTTCTGAAGCTCTGACATTAGTTTTTTTTTTTTTTTAATACAGTGCAGCTAAGTCAACATAGGACAATTATGTTTGAAGTTTTATTTTATTTTAATTTTACTATCTGTATGTATGAGGAGTAATAAGAGAATAAGTCTAAAGCAGAACTTCACTGTCCTGTGGTAACTCAGCCAGGTGTGTTGTCTTCCAAAAATGTTTAAACATAGAGACACATGTAGAGGGTTTTACTTTCCTACCAGGTATATTATTCTGTAATTTTCTTTTGCCACTTAAAATTACATCATAGCATCTCTCTGGTTAATAGGTTTATGTCATATTCTTTAGTAGCTGCATAATAGTATGGATATATTATAGTTTATTTAATCATTATCCTTATCATGGACATTAAATTTGCTTTTAATTTTTTTAACCACTAAAAATACTGTTTTACATTATTGTAATTTTACAGTGAGACCTCTTTTGAATATATCCATTCATTCTGGTGTTTTTAATGCTGTAGGATAGATTCCCCAAAGATAATTGCTGGGTCAAGATGTATATGCATTTCTTATTTGCAATGGATATCACCACGTTACTTTGTGAAAGGTTCTAGCAATCATGCTTCCATCAGCAATATGTCCATTTTCCTACATCTTTCTAAACACTGGATATTTTTACTTAAAAAATTTTTTTTAATATTTATTTATTTTTCAGAGAGAGACAGAGAAAAACAGAGGCTGAGGAGGGGAAGGCAGAGAGAGAGGGAGACACAGAATCCAAAGCAGGCTCCAGGCTCGGAGCTATCGGCACAGAGCTGGACGCAGGGCTCGAAGCCATGAACCGTGAGATCATGACCTGAGTCAAAGTCAGATGCTTAACTGACTGAGCCACCCAGGTACCCCAAGGATGTTTTTACGTTTTTAAATGTAGGCTAAACTGATGTTTAAAAAAGAGTATCATGTTTTAATTTCTATACCTTTTGCCCACTGATGGGGTCAATGCGGTTGGGCTTTTTTTGTTTTCTGTTTTTGTTTTTGTTTTTTTTGTTTTTTTTGTTTTTTTGGTTGGTTGTTTAAATTTTATAGCCATTTGGATTTTTCTCCTGCTCATAGCCTTTGCTTATTCTTATTTTGAGTTGTTTTCTTCTTTTCAATTTATAGTTCTTTATCTTTTAGAACTAGCAATTTTATATTTGTGTTTTTAAATAAACTTTTAATTTTAGAACAGTTTTAGATTTACAGAATAATTATGAAGATAGTATGGAAAGTTCCCATATGACCCTCATCCTCCCTGCCCCATTTCCCTTGTTATTAACATCTTGCAATAGTATGGTGTATCTGTTACAATTAGTGAACCAACATTGATACATTGTTATTAACTAAAGCCCATACTTTAGTCAGATATTCTTAGTTGTTTTTTCTAATGTCCTATTTCTATTACAGTATACCACCCAGGATACCATATTACATTTAATTGTCATGTCTCTTTAGGCTTCTCTGTGCTATGAAAGTTTCTCAGACTTTCCTAGTTTTTGATGACCTGGACAATTTTGAGGGGGCATTCTCATCTTATTCTGGATTTAAGGGAGAAAAAATCCATTATCTTTTCAGTAAGTATGATGTTAGCTGTAGTTATTTCGTAGAGGTTATTTATCAGTTTGAGGAATTTCCCTTCTATCTCTAGTTTTCTGCTTGTTACAGATTTGCAGATCTCCCCATTCTATAATTTATATTTATATTTTGTTCTCTTTTCATAAACATCTTACACTTGTTTCCCAGTACTTTTTTTGAGAGAGAGGTGGCGGGGGAGACAGAGAGAGACAGAGCATGTGAGAGTGGGGAGGGGCAAAGGGAGAAGGAGAGAGAATCTTAAGCAGGCTTCACACCCAGCACAGAGCCTGACATGGGGCTTGATCTCATGACTGTAAAATCATGACCTACACTGAAATCAAGACTTGGACACTTAAATGACTGAGCCACCCAGGCGCCCCTCCCAACATTTTCCTACATTATATAATCTAGGAAATCTAGGATTATATATAATCTAGATAAACCTTGAGCTGCTTTGTATCACTCACTTCTTCCATTCTTCATTTATTTTTCTCTCCAATGTGTAAGACTTCCAAGCAGTCAAACATATAGACTTAGGATTTTTCTGGGTTCAATTTCTAGGGATTACTTCTTCCTAGTTTTTTGATCTTGGAAAAGTTCTTTTACCTCTCTGAGCCTCAATTTGCTTCTCTGAAAAAGTTGGTGTATTATTCCTTTCTCAAAGGATCTTTGTGACATATTTATAAGTGCTGAACAAGTGCTTGTTATTTATCTTTTATGGAGAAAGTTACTGTATTTTTTCATTCTGGAAAGCATTAGAATTACACTCTCTAGCTGTGTGACATATTTGGGGAACAAAAGTGACCAGAATGTATTTCCATTTATGCAACTTTTTTATTCTGTGAGCAAAGAAATATCTTGGTCATAGCTTTGATCCAACCATGTTATAGCACTGTTATAAATAAGTAATCTCTTTTTAATTATTAGCCTTGACCTGTATAATAAAAGTGGTGTTAAATTTTGTTGCAGGGAAACTTGATGGAGACAAACTTTCACATACATGAATAAAATATTATGGCTATAACTTGGAAAGTTGAGTGCTTAAATGCTTCACAGCAATTATAAGTCAACCCAAGGAATGTTATTAAATTACTAGTATGTAAATTCTTAGTATACTATTATTTCATTATGACATTCAGATGGGATTTGTATGTCCTACACACACAGTTGTCAGAGATCAGAGGTTGATGACTGCTGTCCTTTGTCCCAGTAATTATTTTGTATTTCTCATATTTACATCACAAATTAGGAAGAGCTTGGCTAGAAATAGGTAAGGTTCTGCTGAGAAGAGGATTTAACTGGGAATGTGCTCTTGGAATTTCTGAATTTGAAGAAGTATGATTGCTTGAAAGCATACCAAGTGTTTAAAAGGTAATATTTGCCAACCATATAAAACCAGAATTAGTCGTGGGCTAGAAATTGAGCTGTTTGTGTGGTGGGAGACTGTTGTTTCCCTTGCTTTGAGTTGCTTATCCTTTTTTGATTTCTCCAGATATAAAACAGTAATCATATTTTCCATTGTTTAGCTCATGGAATGTTAGAACGGAATAGGATAATGTGGGCCTAAGATTCTTCACTTGTTTTCCATTACTTGTAGGCTGAAATCCAAATTCCTTAGCAATATCATAGTGGTTGAAAACATAGGTTTTGGAATTAGATACAGGTTGTGAGCCCAGATTCTGACTCTGCCATATACAGCCATGTTCTTGGGCAGTTTACTTGAGCTTTCTAAGTTTCAGTTTCCTCGTCTATGAAATGGAGATAATAATAGTTCCTTCCTCATCGAGGTTGGTATGAGAGTTAACCTAGGTAGTATAAGCACAATACAAGCACAGGGTTTGGTGCATTCTCTGTGTTCAGTAAATGGTAGCTGCTGGTATCCACGTCTCCATGGCATATAAGGCCTTTGCTACCTGGTCTTTTTCACTTCATCTGCCATCATTAACTCCCTAAATTCATCCCATTTATCCTGAATACACTCCTTTATTACAACACACCTTACTTCCTGACTTTTTTCCGCTGTGTCTTTTTGATGTCAGAAATGCTATCTTATTCATAGGTGGATTTTCCTTAGTTAGCACATAGTGGAACTATAGCCAGTTGACTCAAGAAAATTGTGTAGAATTAAACTAATGTTGGGATCATCATAAATAAATAAGGATTGGTCAAATAAGTATATAGTGAGTACATTAAAAAATAAAGTAAATAAAAATCCCTGTGTATATAAGACATCTGAACCAGTGGTCATTGGCCAAACTAAGTATAGACCTATTTTGTTAAAATAAGTCAGGAAAATTTATAACAAAAGTTTTAATTTCTGGCTTCTCTTGAAAAGTTTGGAGATCTAGCAACTGAACCTCCCTTGCTGCATAGAAATGGTTGGAATTCTTCAATTAGACCCATTCTCCATTCAAATAACATAGATGCATCACAATAGTGTCTCTATGTGTCTACCAGTATAAAGTTCATCTTTTCCTCCAGAAAACATGATTTGATTAATGCAGAATAGGAAGAGTACTGCTCTTTACCCATTCCCAGGTAGGTAGAGTTAGCTGATCTACCTGAAGAAGCAATGGCAGCCACCCACCCCACACCCAGAAAGCCTGATCAAATGCTCTTAAAAATGTTTGATCTTGTTAAGCTTATATCGCCATAGCTATGTATAGTCTTGCTGATTTTGGTATTGTTGATTTATTCTGTGCCCTCCTGAGAAGCCCTACAGTTTGTGAGGATGAATTCGAGTTATTAATAGAGATAGTGGCTTATAATAGATGAGTTTTGTCTCTTACAGCCCCATGACCCAGGTGCATGTGGTTTTGGCCACACTGAGACAGGGCCAAGGGACTATGTGTAGTCATGTTAGGAGGCTGCATAGGGGAGTATTTGATGTGGGCATCAGGCCAGTTTACATGCTGATGTTTTTTTTTGGGGGGGGTGTACATTCAACTTTTGACAACTTGAATAACTGTTTGTCACCTCTGTGACTATAGGTACATCCCATACATTCCCATGCTTAGGAGAATACCCATAAATAACAAAGGGAAATGATTTAGCAATGATCTAGTTAATTTGGTAAATGTAAACACCCAATTGGCTATATCATATTATGTTTTGAAACTTGAATTGTGCACTACACTGACTAAATTGAGCATAAAATTGCCAGATCAGTTTACTCCATGTTTTACAGATACAGAATAAAAGCCAGATTAAGCAAAGAGATAGTATTTTCCTTTGAGCAGAGTGTGGGAATTTGAGTTTCTTATCAGACTTTGAAAACTGTGAATGTTAAATTATACTAGGATGGCACTTTCTGTTTTTACTTGTCGTTGAATTTATTTTCTTCTTCTGAAGCCCACAGCGAGCTTTTGACTGTATATCCTTTAATGCACTGATGTGAGCAGAGATGGGGTAGAGTTGCAGCCAGAAAAAGATTTAAAAATTTACTCAAGAAAATTTTGTATCATTCAGCAGCTCAGGTACAGGAATAAACATGACTTCTCTGAGATTTGGCAACCTCACATTCCTCTTTCAAAATGAAGCACATCCAAAACACCTTCATGAGGTGCATACTAATTGGCTCTTGCTGCTTGCTAGTTATTTTGTTATTACCTAATGCAATCCAATCAGACATTCAAAAGGATATCTATTTCAAATAGTGTGATCTAGTTGGATTAAGTACAGACCCTGACATTTGGCGCTCTGGTGCCACTGACTTACTTGTCAGACTCTTTGAAATATCAGTCAACATGACAGTGTCTGAGTTTCCATAAAGGACATTATGTTATCTGCCCCTGTGTCCAAATAAAGGTATTATAATGACTTAAAGGTAAATTGCTCTAAATGAAAATAATACATTTCAGTGAATATGCTAGGAAATCATTGGATGGATATATAGGCAATACATGTAAGAGAATAACAGAGTGACTCCATTTTTATCCTTGTTCTCCCAGGGACTGGTAGAGTGCCAAGCTGCCTATTTCCCTCATGATTGCTGAAGGATGAATTTATCCATCAGCAGTAGTGCTTTGGTAACTACTTGCTCTAACAAGGTTAAGTTACTTCAACTCTGCAGATCTCAGACTTTTCTATCTATAAAATGATTGGGATTAGCTTGTAAAAAACATTTTCTTACAGGTCCAAAATTTGACTCTTTGATTTGATGTATTATAAAACATGGCAAATATAAATATATATATATATATGCATATATATAATGTTATATATATAAATAAATGTTTATATTTAAACATATATAAATGTTTATATTTATAAATATAAATATTTGTATTTAAATATATATAAATAAATGTTTATTTATATACATATACTTGATAGGATGGTCTTTGAGGATTAGAGTAAGAAAATGAGCAATGACTTAAATAATAAACTTATATAAAATTAAATAATGAAAATAAATTTATAAAAAAGATAAATAGATGTTTTAATGGCTGATAAACAACAACCATGACTGTTAGCATATGACTATTGTCCTAGGTGAAAATCTGTCCCTTTTGTGGTGTGGAGTGTGGAAATTTTAATGTTTGAAAGTTACCATCAAGAATTTTGGTGTATCGGGGTGCCTGGGTAGCTCAGGTGCTTAAGTGTCCAACTCTTGGTTTCGGCTCAGGTCATGATCTCACAGTTTTGTGAGTTCAAGCCCTGCGTCTGGTTCTGCACTGGTAGTGCGAAGCCTGCTTGGAATTCTCTCTCTCTCCCTCTCTCTCTGCCCCTCCCCTGCTCACACTGTCTGTGTCTCTCTCAAAATAAATAAATAAACTAAAAAAAAAAATAATTTTGATGTATTAAAAGTTCCAGGTTGAGAGAGGCTTCTGTACATATAGAACTGATTTCCTCTTAATTCCAGGTGACCCATTTTATTATGAAATGACTACCAAATCCTTTCTCTTAAAGATGTTAGGGACTGGCCTGGAAGGAGTGTGAGAACTTTCCTTCCTTTAGTTCCTTTTAAGGTGCTGAAAGTCTTGCTCCTCTGCTGAGGTCTGACTTGCCTTGGGAGCTCAAAGCTGCAGGGCCTGTTTAGCTGCTGTGTTTTACATGTGCTGACCAAGGTTTATATCCCAATTGCTTATGTATCAGAACGCTGAAGTTGAGAAAGCACCTTTGAAAAATTCAGTGATATCTGTTCCTAGAGGGATTTATATTTGATTCTTTTTCCTATCACTCCTTCCTCTTCACTTTGTTCTCTTTTGTTTCTTCCTTTGCGTGACTCTCATTCATTTATTTATTCATAAACACATATACCAAACATGGTGTTGGATCATGAGAATAGAGAGCTAATATACGTTACTTACTGTCTAGGAGCTTACTGCCCAGCATCATGTTTTTGGGTGCAATTTCTTTGCAAGTTTGGTCCTTTGCTATTTATAGCTTCTGGGAATGTACTTACATTTTGAATGCTTAGTTTTTTGACTCTTAGCCTTATATAATTCATTCCTAAATTCTGTTATGTATCTGTAATAGTCAGCCTGTTGAAGGAAGCTGTTTTTAGCCATCATTTAGTGGATATGAACACTTAATATTAGTTTTCTTTCATTTTGCAAGTATCTCTTTCAATAAAAAATTCAAAACTAGGATTTTTGCAGCTATAAGCTTTCTGGTAACCAGGTTCTAATCTTATTTGATGACTATACTTGGGGGTGAATGTGGAAAGGAAAATTTTTATTTAGGTAGTAAAATCTGACTCCTCCCCCAACTATATTGAGATCCTCTGATGAGGCTATAAACTTACTGATTCTATTTCCTTTTCTTTCTCCTTGATAGTTATGGATATGGGAGGCAAAAGACTCAGATCTCCGTTTGAAACTTCTTGGATGGTTAGTAGAGAAATCCTTGCAAGCTTTCAGAGTTGAGGATGGAGAAGCTGCCTATTATTGTAGCTAAACCTAAGGAGAGGGAAATATTAGGAAAACACCATTGTAAGGAGCCAAGGAGTCAGTTTGTCTGAGACAGAAGAATTTTGGTTAATCAGACCTTATTGAAATTTGACTTAGATAGTGCTTTTCAAAAACAATGAAAGTGAATGTTTCGATTCTTTATTGCTTCTTAACTTTCCTCTTCCCCCAAATTTGGTGGCTTTAAACAACAATCATTATATTATATCTCCTCATTCTCTGGATTGATTGGGTTCAGCTGAGTCCTTTTGCTTCACATGAGGTCACTTGGGGATACAGCTATCTTGGAACTCACCTGGGCCAGAGCATGCAAGATGGCCAAGATGGTAGTGGACAGGTAATATTGGCCATCAGCAGGTAGCTCAGTAGGGGCATTCTGGTGGGGGGGGGTCTTGATTCTCCTCAAGGCCTTCCACGCTTCTCCTTATGGCTACTTAGGCTTCCCTGTAGCATGGCTGC